GGTCTCCAAGCACTTCATTTATCCAGGTCTCGTTTGATAAAGATTTTTTTTTAGAAGTCATTCTTTGAAAAGTGGTTTTTGTTGGGTAAATTTGTGGTTAAAAGTAGGGAAAAGTTATGGGAAAACGCGATGAATGATCTTTTTAATCTTTTTGAACAATGTGGGGGTTGAAAATGAGAATGGAAAATTAGTTATTATCAAGGAATCAAAATCAAACAAGAACTTAATGTTTGTTGTGTATTCCGTGCTTTGAGCAAATTTTAGGACATTTACTGGTATCATGTTATATGATCAGGTCCTTTTTCTTTCATGCTTCCTGTTCGTTTAAAAAAATGAATATTAACCAGTTATCCAAACTTGCACTCACCGATGGAAAATGGGAAGCCATTGCATATCTCCATTGCATTTAGTTCATGCGCAATTCTCAATAGTTCCTTTTTTCTACGTGCAGGAAATATTGAATAACAGACATTGATCTGGTGGTAAATCTCAAGCTTCTAGAAACAGTACTGGTTGAGAAATGCCTTGGACGAAGGATCTGCAGCCAATGTGGGAAGAATTTCAATGTACCAAATATCAATGTCAAGGGTGAAAATGGAAATCCTGATATTAGTATGGATCAACTTCTTCCGCCTCCACAATGTGTTTCGAAGCTCATTACTCAATCTGATGATGCTGAAGCTATTGTTAGAGAAAGACTCCGTGTATGCTATGAGAAGGTACCACACTATGCTCCCTCTATCACGGTTTTTTTTGCTCTTCAAATGGACTGACATGGGCGAAGGGGGAGTAAAAATAGAAATTTACTTCTTTTAAATTATATGATTTCGCTGTAGAAAAAGTGGGGTGAAGGAGGGGTAAAGGAGGATTTGACCTAACCTAGGATGGCCAACATACACTAAACAGGATTTTGTGAGGTTTAAAAATCAAATTCATCCTAACGACATTAGGAAAATCCTAATTTCATTCACTCTTCAAGTTGTATTATGTGCCCAAGTGACTTGGTCGTCAATTACATCATTAA